CTTCGTTGTCTTCATAGCCTTCTGTCAGGACACTGTCTAATGGTCCGATGTGCTTCTTAAATTCTGGTGCTCGGAAGTGCACACAAATTCTTTAGAGGGGGGCACTGCTGAAGTCATCATGCTTGTCCAGGACTTGAGCGTTGCTTCCCTGCACAGAACTGTTTGTAAGCACCCATTCCAGATCAGCTGGAGTCTGCTGGGCTGCAAGAATGGGTTAGCAGAGAATTTCCCACCTCTGGAGTCTCTCTGCGATGAAACTTCCTGTGTGCTTCATCTGGGGTTTTGATTTGTTTTCACGTACTGGAAAACTGACAGGGATACAAACGCAAGGAAAAATCATGGTGTGGCTCAGAAAGCATACTTTTTTTTTTTTTTTTAATAATCCAATTATTGTGGAATGATAAACGAGAAACTGGGGACTTGCTAATTGTAAGTGTACATTGTGACTGATGCCATTCTTCAGTTCTGGGGAGCTGAACTTGTTTTTCATCTTTACTATAGATGGAAGTTTTTTGCATTCCTGTCTGTCTTTATTGCTTTTGCTAATTGTCTCATCAAGCACGCTTCTGCCCCTGCTCCCCAACCAGACCACCAGAGCTGAATGCAGAGCACAGCAAATGAAGCCAAGTTTCTTGCTCTGTCCAGTGGTGGAAGTTACATTAAAATATGGGAAGGCTTTTTTTCCTAGAATCCTGTGTGGACTGACTCTTGCTAGGAGCACTCAGAGGTGTTTTTTGTCATGATGCTGTTTTTAATAGGCATTTAGGAAAAGCACTTAGGGCTGGAGTAGACTTGAATAAAACGTGCTCTTCTAGGAAGAAATAAATGTCAGATAAGAAGGATTAGGGAGTTCTAGCAACTTTCAGCTAGTTCTTTCTGTGCTGAATTCCTGGAAGAAATCTCTGGAGTAGTTTATTGCAGAAAAACTCTTAGCGTCATCCGTGTCCTGTTTAGAAAATTCTCTAATTGCACTCATTTTCCTCCTAGCACAGGAAGGTTTGGGGGAGCCATGTTCTTTTCTGTCAGCCTCCTGCATTCAACCGTACAGTATTTTTAAAATGTGAAGGTTTGGGCCTGTCTGGAAAAGTAATTTTGGGTGTTAGCTTCTGCGTGAGAGTGCGATCTAATGAATGTCTGCACATGAGCGCAAAGGTGAAGTGAGCAAAGTTGAGGTTAAATTTACTAGGAGGGGTAGTAAGCTAACGTTTCTGGAAAATCTCAGCCAGCTATTGCATCAGTTTCAACAAGCTGGCAAGCACTCTGTGTTGGTGATACTTGGCTGTCCCAGAGAGGATCCAGGATGCGCGGAGCTGCCTAGTGCCTTGATGTTGTGCAATGCTCAGGCATCGTCTCGCACTGTGGGGTGAGGGCTGGGAGGGAGGATGCCATGTGCAAAGGTTCCCATGACCTGTGGCTCCCAGGAAATCTGTGTCCCAGCTGCCCGGAGCCACAGATCCTGGGAGGCTCAATGGTGGATCCACGATGCTGACAAGAACATAAATTTTGCTGTGCAGCTGCAGGCTCCCAGAAGATTTTTATTCAGGAAATGCCATCTGTTGGTATTGTGGAAACAGTAACATTGTCTATGCTTTTCTGCTTTAATTTGGACTGAGATACCAAGTCATTTCATAAAAGAAATCTTTTATTCTTAACCTCAATGAGAAAGAATGGGTGCATTATGTTAAAGCAAACCACTGGTTATTGTGTGACTTTGTGGTTTGTTTTAAATAATCTTGATGCTTCTTGTAGTATGTCAGCACCTAGCAGTCTTCCTGAAATCTGTACATCCTCAAGCCCTCTCCATTCACCTCATGTGATTATTATTTTTTCCCCACATGACATATGAGGGAGTGGAACAACTCAACAGTGCTTACAGAATCTCTGTCTTGAATAAAGCTCTACCTGGATACTTTTTTTTCTTTCCATAGCTATATGCAGCTACGTTGGCATCGGCCATCTGCCAGAGGCAGTTCTTCCTGGTGGTGATTTCACTGACCAGCTCTAGGATGTCTCAGTCCATCTAGCCTTGGGAAGTCACGTAGCCTAGGATTGTTTTTTGGGTGGCTTTGTGTTGCTGTTTGTTCTGGCCAACGGTGCCCTTCACGTGGTGCTGGTATCTGTTAGCTCGTGGTTTCTAAGACGTGCAGCAGAGCCCTGCCACCAGCCCTGCTCCCTCTCCGTGCTGCCCAGGTGCAGCTGCCCGCAGGCTGGCCCCAGCCCTGTGCTGACGATGGGACGTACCAGTGGCCTCACCACCAAATGGAGGTGAACTTGAATGAAGGAGGCTGGGCAGCGCTCCAGCTACCGAGCCCTGTCTGACCGCCTAATCTCACTATAGAAAACCTGTTATTCTGTATTCTCATAAATACTGTTCTCTTGAGTAAAGCTGGAAGCTTGTTCCCCCTGCTCCCTTTCTCTTCCTCAGTTAATGAATAACTGGCTAGGAATGTTTAGTTAAAATGGACCACACCTTTTGCTTTCTAATTGAGACTTGGTGAACAGAGGAACTTGGTGAAGTCCTAAATAGATGTAGCTTTTTCTGGTGTGGCTTAAGTTTTTCTCAGTATCTTATTTTTCCTTCATGTTATGTGAGCCTGTGAACTTTGCTTTGGGAAGATTTGCAGCCCTTGCAACACAGTTGTGTTCTGCCTGTCATTTTTGATTAAAACAAAGACTTCTGCAGTTGAGACAATCCCAAAAATGAACTGATGAAGCTGTTCTCTGAGTCTGCTGAATGTATGAACCACTCTGAATTGTCTGCTGAAAAACCTGAGGAAACGTCAGCGTGGCTGAAATGTCAGTAGTGCACAAGTGAACAGAAGCAGGAAGCTGGCTTGCCTGCCCAATAAGCTTGCACTGCTTCCTTTCCCTCCTTGGTGCCAAAAAGTACCCCACCCAACACTCTGCCTACCCCTGTCAATATTTGCAGAAAAAACGTGCAGCAGATACAGTGATGGAAATATAGGCAGAGTATACTTGTGGGTTTAATACAGCCGGAAGATTATTAAAAGACAACAAAATTGAATGATCTTGTATTTGAGCATCTTTGGAAAAGAAGAAAATAGCTTGCTTCCGAGGGCATGAGGTTAATTGTTTTCAATTTAATTTGCAGTCGTCTTAAGAGTTATTCTCTAGCAGTGTGGATCACTGCAGCAGTCTGCTTGTGTAATACTGAAAGGAGTAAACGAACAGCCAACAAATGTGTGGACGAGCTTTTGTAGAGCTCCCATGTTTTAGGTGTAGTCTGCAGCCTTTGCTGTCTGGGCCCATTGAGGCAGCATCAGCTGTGGTGTATCATTCTGCAGTTAGTAAATCTGGCATCAGTCCATGCTTGGGCTAAAGAAAGCATCAGTCCTCGTTGCTTCTTTCTTTCTCATCCCTCGTCCTGGCATTCACATCTGTGAAGCTGTACAGTGAACCAGTTGAGGGGAAAGTGATCCTCTTAAACCTTTATATTTACTTGTTTTCACTGCGTTAGTTTTCAGTCAATTAATTTCTTGGTCTGGTTTGCTGTGCAACCACGCGGACCTGCTTTGCTGCATTAGAGCTGGTGTCAGCTCCAGGGCAGGGAGGGGATGCAGTTGGGCCATCCCTCTGCACGATGCTTGAACCTTATCAGCTGTAGCACCTGTACCAGTTGCATGCTTATTCTCTGTCCATACTCACTTGTATACATGCCCAAGCTTCGTGGCAAATGTGTTCTTACTGAGGATATTTTTGGGATGTTTGCGCAGAGTAGGAAGGGTATGGAGATGGGAACCCAACATACAACCATACAGAAGGTGATGCTAGTTGGAAATGTCTCTACAGTTAGTTTGGAGGCAGAGTTTCAGGCCTGTAGAAATGAGGAAGTATTGCCTCTCAGTGCACCTTGGAGCATTTTAAACTTTAATCCCAGTTGTGGAAGCTTTAACCTGTTCACATTTGGGTGAGAATTCCACCACCTGGCAGCCATATTCCAGCTCTCCCGAGGCTTTTCTGGCACGCAAAGGTTGAGAGCACCCAGGCTGTTAGGGATGGGTGGAAGCTGGCTGGGCTGCTGGGCACTAGGTGCCAGTTCCTCACTCCAGGCTGTGGGGTGGATGGATGCCAGCAGCATTGCTGAGGTGCTGGTAATGGGTTTGGTGCTGTTTAATATCTTACAATCTTGATGAGCGAATGGAGTGTGCTGTTCGCAGGTTTGTGTGTCATCAAGCTTGGAGGGGGAAGGAATGTTTGCAGGGCTGCCACCCTGAGGCTCAGGCTGGCAAGTCTTGTGTGCTTTAGCTAAGGCAAATACATCTGGGACAGAATAACCTCGTGCAGCAGGACAGGCTGGTTAGACTGCAGCACTGCAGGAAAGACACAGCCGTCCTGGTGGACAGGCTGAATGTGGAGCCGCTTTAGTTTTTCTGCAATTCCCTGAAGTTTTATGCTCAAGCTAGATTTCCATCTTAAAACATATTAGACCGTAGGATAGGACTTGAGATGTTTATAGTCCATGCAGTCTAAGAGCAGTTCATGAATGTATGGCTGCTAAAGCCATGATGTGTGCTCGCTGGAAGTTTGCCTGCTATGAGGATGGCAAGTGGACATAATTTGAAGACTGCGTGCATTTTGTTTAATGAGTGGCTTCTGGGATGTTCTGTAACTGAAGTTCTGTATGTTGTTTTCTGCACGTAGTATATTCATTCAACCAGAACTACAGTAGAGGGAGAAAAAGCTTGGTGCTTTTTTTTTTTTTTCCCTTTGCTTAAGTGTCATGACAGAAAGAGCAGGTGACATCCTATATGTGAATATGGAATCACTCTTGTAAGATAGAATGCAGAGATTGCTTACAGACTGAGAGGAATATATTTCAGGAAGGAAGGGAAGAATCACCTTTTTTTCCATTACATAAAAGTGAAAACGTAATGATTATGCAGCTGTGCTTTTTAGGTTACTCTATCTGAAATTAGGTTACTGCGTTTAGCACACACTACTGCTTCTTTTAACTTTCTTGTAACCTTTTTGTCTTCCAGCTTCTTGCAAGTGTTCACTGATAGCACAGCGAGCAGAGCTCTGTACATCAATGAAAAACTACCAGCAAGCTCTCCATGATGCAGACATCCTCTGCCGAAGCAAACCCCACTGGCCTGCGGTATGGTGCTTGCATGCTGCAAGGAAAAAAATTCTGACTTCTTGTTCTCAGGACTTCTCTCTGGGGGGCAGATGGCACTGGTGAGGTCATTGTTGGGTGAATATTGTGGTGTTATCAGGACTGGAAACACAGACTGGAAGCTTGTTCCTTTACAGGATGAGTCTGGAAGGTCCTTAGCATGGGATTTCTCTGGTGGGCATCCAGTGATGTGATTTTGTTTGTGCTAGTGCCAATTGATCTGTTAGAGCTTGTGCTGTAGCTTGGAGCAGAATCGCATTCAGAAGTCATCAGTGGCATGGGATCACTTTTCCCTTTTGACAGGAAAAGTGGAGTGGCTTTGCCAGCCTCCTAACAACAGTGTCTTTCTGAGGAGTATCCCAGACAGTATTTCAGGATTTACTCTTTTTTTTCCTTCAATACTGAGTTCATACATCAGATTCCTGCCCGTGTGACATAGTGATTCATATTGGTGTGGGGTTTTTTCCCTAACAAATGAGGTTCTTGGAGCAGTCTGAAGCAATCGTCAGAAACAATGTTAAGGTAAAAAGGGAAGGAAGCACATGGTGCCCGCAGTTGATGCCTGAAGTCAGGCTGGATATCCCAACAGCTCACCCTGCCTAGGATTACACTTCTAGTCAGTTCCTCACCTGTCACTGGCAGAACAGCAGCACAGCTTTGACCAAATGAAGTCTCCAGACTGAGAGATAGGGTGGCATGGGTTGTAGGCAGGGGTGTAGAAAGACCTTGGATTTTCTTTGGCCTTATGAAGAAGTCTGAGATGTTGCATAAGCCCATTGGTGTGGCAAGCCTTAGCACAGAAGCTGCAGCTTGGTCTCTATTCAACTAGGTAGGATGAGCAATGAGGTGCCCTCTGATGCATCTAGCTTCTGACAAGTTAGATAATCATCTCCTGAAGATATCTGTCTTGTCACCCATTAAAACCTTTTCTATTTGAAGGAAAATGATAATCTAACCCCCACCTCCAATTCTACTCTTTAAAATTTGACTTTCTATTTAGGATCGTTTTCTAGTCAAGGCAAGAATTCATCTTGAGCAGTGTCATTTGTGTTTCTGTGCAAAGGGAGACAAATGAATTAAGCACATTCAAATGTTTTCTTGGAGTGTCTTGTCTGTTTGCCTTGCATCCATGGAAATGTGATGTGTGTCTGTCGTAGGCGGATAAAGATTTTGTTAATCGCATCTCTGAAGAATGCTAATTGAAAATGAAAGTTGTCATCATGGCATACCAGCAGTATCACAGATACGTTTTGCTTGTGTATGTCAGAATTTCCATAGAAGTTTTGGCGATCCCGAATTAGCATTATTCAGGAATTCTGCTTTGTTTTGTATCTTGCACTGTTTCATTCAGTGACAAAGATTAGAACAAACGTGTAGCGCAAAAATCCACCATAAAATAGAGCTGTTCTGGAAGCACCTCCTCGGGGGGTGAGCATTCACCTACCAGAGACTTTTGGCTTATTGCTAATAGAAATTTAATGTCTTACTGAGTTCCTAAAGCTCTTGGGTCCACTGTAGCAGTTAGAACAATAGGCCAGTTTATTTTCAGTTGCTGAAACCACGTCCTTGGCGTCTGTGAGGAAGAAATTTCCAGTTGTACTTTGCAAGTGGCAGAGAGAATTAGATGCCTTCTCTGAAGCTGCTTGGGGTTCTGGCTAGATTTTACCCCTCAGATCTGATGCTTTACTTGACACTGTGAAAATAGAAAATGGAAGGCAGCAGTGGTCTTGTAAAGTCTGTTATTGCTGGGCATAATTTTTGGTGTTGGATCTTTAGATACTTCTTCCACAGACAGCCCAGATCAGCCCTCAATTTGTGGTGTGGATGAGGAAATTACTCTTTTATTTGGAAAATTGGAAGGCACCAAACTACCTTGTAGCTTTTCCAGGGCAATGGAGTAAACTTGTCTGCAGTGTCAGGATGATTAGGAGCTCTGGAAAAAAAGTTTAGAGAGGCTGTGCAAGCATCAAAATAAAAAGGTCAGGGTCAGGCCTCTGCAGTATCTCTGCTCTTATCATATTCAGAAAAGAAACATGCAGATCTTGATGAAATGTCTCCAGCATGCTAACTGCATCCCAGTTCTCAGAAGCTGAGAGACATTGCTTGGGAACCAAATCAAGCTCTTGCATGCTCCTTGGATTCAGCCTCCTGTTGGGAAATATGCTTTCTGCTTGCTGGAATAAACAGGCTGCTCTCTTCTGTATTTTGGGAAGTAGTCAAATTTACCTGCTCAGTCCTCATCTCAGGAGATGGCTGCATACTAAGACTTCTTGTTTGTGACATACAGTGACTAGTCTTTCCTACACAGTGTCTGTTACTTTATTTTGCTATAAGCATCCTCTTTTTCTCCCAGACAGTGGAGAGGTACAGATCATAACAGGCCTAACTTGAAGGGCTGCATTGAAAGGTTGAGGGAAGTTTACCTGCTGGATAAGATTACCTGATCTTTTTGCAAGAGCATGAGGAACAGAAAAAGACATCTGCTTATCTGACCAGTCTCTCAGCCTTCAGCACAGCCTGAAGATAATTGTGTGAATCAGAGGTGGACTAGTATTCATTTTCAAGAGCAGATGTTTACAAACGCATTTAGTTTCTCTCCGTCTTGAAGGAAATAATTTCCGGAGTCAGATTTGAACTGCAAATTGACATCCACAGGGAAATTCAGAGGTGAGGCATTCCTCTCTCACCACTAATAAGCAAAGTAGGACTTGTCTCTAAGCTGATTTCTTTTACTTCAGCCATGGGTGTGTCACTCCAGGATGTGAAGATGTGATGAGCTAAAAGGTTTCAGGTTAAACACTGTCAAGTTGCCCTACATTTGTAATATATTGGTATCTTCTACCCAAATAAAATAGGACAAGACACTGAGCAAAAGTGAGTATCCTAATCCTGAAATCTTTGGCTCCTTCCAGTGCTGCTGCCAGCCTGCCCAGTGTTTTCCATATAACTCCGTTACTGTTCAGACTGTCCTGGTACAGGGAACCCTTCTCTGGGCTACAGGGAGCCCTGTAGGATATGTTGTGATCTGAGTCCCCAGGGAGACAAACAGCCCTCCTTACTCTGTGTCAAGTCCCCCTTGCTGAGGAAAGAAGCAGTGTCTTTGGCTTGGGGATGCTTTGCTGCAGCACTGGGGGTGTTTTGTTTAGCAGGAGGGAATGGCTTTCTCATTCTTCTTCTGCAAAATGGAGGGAATGGCCAAGTTTGTGTGCTGGTGTCTTACTGTCACTTCAGAAATAATCTCTAGATTTGTACGTTTTCTTTGTGCGAACAGGGTCATTATGTGAAAGCAAAAGCTCTTTCTGGATTGGAAAGGACTGAGGAAGCATTGAAGGAGTTTCTCTATTGTGTTGCCTTAAATCCTGAATGGAGCTCAATGAAGAAAGAAGCCCAGAAGGTATCAAATGTGTTTACTGTTTGCTTCTAGGCCATTACACAGCTCTGTAGAGGTGCCTCCGTCAGAGATAGTGTATTTGTAGGTTGGACCACTGCCATTTGTGGATGCTTGCAGTGTGTCAGCAGGATTTGAGTACACCTGGATTCCATAAGCTCAAGGCTTCTAATTTTAGTGCCCAACAGAAAACCTCCTCATGTGGGAAATGACGGGGGGTGGAGGGGGGAAAAAAACAACCCTGTAGTCTCTGTATAACTTCCCATAAGGGGACATGGCTGTTTGCCCCTAGTCACATTCTCTTTTAGTCTATACGTGCAGCAGTTTCAAAAAAGAAGTGGGGGGTTCAGCAAGGTACTCGGTGGAGGCTGGTGAGAAGGGGAACAGCTGTACATAGCTTTTAGCCTGGGTTGAAATCAGCTTGAGTGTAGAGCAGTGACCTGCTTGGATGCAGAGGAGAACTCAGACACATCTGTATTAATCTGATTCAGTAAAAGAGCATGATCTGAAACCTTCTGAAAGCAGAGATCTGAGGATCATAGTGCAGAGGGACATCAACAGGGGAAGAAGAGAGCAGGTTGCCAGCCTCGGTGATTGTGGGGAACAAGAGGCTTTGAGAAGGGAGGTGGACCCAAGTTCCCACAGAGAGGGGGACCTTGGGATGTGCCTATGGTTGTGGTGGGCACTGCCACATGAGTTTCCTGTGGATGTTGGGGAATGTAGGATCCTACCGTTTTTGCAAGCCTCTTGGCATTCAGAAGCTACACAGTTTGTTCATCTGTGTTTGTACAAACATAAAGATCCGTGTTGTAATTGTTGTTCTTCTCTCTCTGTTTCTCTCTCTAATTGACTAGATAATGTGTGAGATGTTTTTCCCAGCCTTTGAAAATGTGCATGATAGTCTAACAGCACCTTTCTCTAGTCGAACATCCCATACAAGATTGAAACCTGCATTTTTAAGTAGCATAAACACACAGTCAGCTGCTGAAGATAGTTCTATTGCTGGGTCCTCAAAGGTATAGTAAAAAGTATTCAACATCTAAATACCAAAAATAATACAAGGATCTGTCTGATCTGTGTGATGTTGTCTTTGTCAGCACTCGTGTAGGCACTTACTTCATGGTAAGCCTGTTTTCTCCAGTTACTGTTGTATCTCTTGTTGGGACATGTTTTTTCAGAAAAAAACAGGTCAAAACTCTTTGTTCAGAAAACAATGTGATGCCTTCGTGTGGAGATCTGTTATTTTGTCTTTATTTTATATCTTTTCTTTTCCTCCTTTATGTCATTTATGGGATTTTAGTATGATAGAAACAGCCCCTAGACACAAGGCGTAGGGAGAGAAGTCTGTTTAATGCAACTTGAGATTGGCCTTGTTTCATGTGGACCTTTGTTCCTTTTTAAGCTCAGTATAGTTACACTGATCTATTACTGACATATATAATTAATAATAAAAAAATAAAACTTCTGCTGTGTATAACTGTTCTTACTTTCTTTAGGATACTGTGTTCAGGTTAACAAAAAACCCGTCCCAAGAATCTGATGTATTTAGAAGCACTGATTCTCCCGCTTCCCATAACGTACTGGATCGCTATTTTGAAGACAGCAAGAAGTCTTTGGGAGCTGTTCTCTCCAGTTTACCTGGGACTGGCTTAAAAAGAAAGCTGTCCAGTGATATGAGGGATATACAAAGCTTGGACATCCCCAGTAAAATCCCTAAGAAAGGTTTGTGCTGTGGCTTAGGGATTTTCTTTTGTTCATGTTCAAAAACTACCTTTTTCCTCCTTCCTTTTTAGGTGTAAATGAAACATTTCCTGTATGGATTTGTAGACTAGGAAATATATTTCTGCTCTCAACAGCGTTGCTCAGATATTCCTCTCTTATTGGAACATGTAGAGTTTAAGGATGTTAAAGGCACTAAAGTTCAAATTACTATTTATGTTATTCCAGTGCAGTTTCAATTCATTCAATGAACACTGCATTTTTCTTCTCATAACTTGTAATCCGCTAACAGTTTAGTCTTTGTATTGCTGGTGTTCACGTTTTCTAAGTCTCAGAAGTATAGTGGAATGTCATTGTTTTTTTATATGAAGTAAAGATACAGTGAGCCTGGAAATTGATCTTTAGCTGGCATCAGAAAGAGTCACATGCAACTTTACATGAAATTTGCCAAGCAAACAAAGGAGCCCTTTGAAGGAGTAATAAGCCCACCCAGTTTTCTGTTGCTTGATAGCTGTGCTTACAGTTGGTATTCTTCTCAGGCTTTCAACAAAGACCTCTGAAGTGTTTTTACTACTCTGGGAAAAAATGCTGAAGGCACTATATTGCACTGAGTAGTGAAATAATTGGGAAAAGAGGCTTTTAAAATGCTGCTGTATTAGCATGCATTTTTAAAAAGAAATAAAAGCGCACACCTCCTTGACCAATCTGACTTCTGCCTTGAAATATCACAAGTGCCCAAGTGCTGCTGCTTGTCTGCCACCTCAGCAAATTACCAATTTATGGCCAGCTTCTGGTCATGGTGTTGTGCAGGGAAAAATCCTGTATTTGTCTCTGAACTGCAGACTCAGTAAATAGATTGTGAAATCCAACACTCCTCTATCTCCACAGCAAAGGGCAGAGATCGCATTTTACCCAGAACCATTAATTTCTGGTCTGTGCTAGATCCTGATGCCACACTGCTATTTGCAGAATAAAGCAGTTAGATTCTTGCTGCTACTAAAGGCTAACATGCAAGATGTAGGTTAAAGATAACACTGTTTTTCTTTGTAGGCCACATCAGTGCCCTCTCCCCTTTCCTGTCTGTGCTGGAGATAAACCAGATGCTCAGTACAAGTTATCTTTTAACAAAATATCCAAATGTTTCAACTTAACATCAAAAAGCTGAGCTTTTTTTTTTTTTTTTTTCCACTGTCAAGAATTTGGTTCATAAAAAGGTTGTGAAGGCTCTGTTGCAATTCTTGCTGAGCAACAAAGGTGTGGACTGTGAAAGAAGTTGCAGAATCTGGTGAGGTATTGAAACAGGCTGCCCAGGGAGATGCTGGAGGCACTATCCCTGGAAGTTTTCAGGAAATAGGTAGATATCACAGTGAGTGACATGGCTTAGAGTGGTCACAAGCATGGGTTGACTGCTGGACTTAGATGATCTTATGAACCTTTATGATTCTGTGATTAATATGCTTGCATTAATGTCATCAGAAGTTTAAGCTGATAGCTTTTGAGCTTAAATATTGCTACGGTGTTTGAGTCCTGTAATCTTTGGATGTGTTCACTACAGCAAGAAACAAGACGGACATAAATTTTTGTGAAGTAATCTGTCAATGTGTTTGCCAGCTGCATTAGCTCATATATCTCCAGTAGTTCTTCAAAGTGAAGCTGTGTGAAACCTAGGATTTCTACAGCAGGGTAGTCTAGAAGCATGCAAGCCTTTTTATACTGCTAAGAAAAATTACTCCTGCTGAGACATCTATAATAAACACTGATGAAATAGTTTAACAGTGTGTAAACAAATTAAATTCTGGACTTAACATACTTAAAAACATCTGGCCTGGCTGATGTGGGAGGTAGTGATGGTGATGGGAAAGCAACAGCAGAATATTTTCAAAACTAGACTTTGAAAAAAACAACCATTTTTGGAGAAGTAATTCGTGGGTATTCAGCTCTAAAATGCTTTCTCTGGCCATCATCCTCTGCTCTCCAAAAAACTTCCTGCCAGAAGGTCTAAAACCTAAATGGAAAATATGTTTATTTGAAACAAAGCTTCAAAAAAGAAAGGAGAGAATATAGTTATGGAAAAACAATTTAGTATTTGAAATTGCATTAATGCTAAAATATTTACTGTAATCATCACCTTAACTTCTAGATGTAGATGTTTTACCTGAAAATGCTGTCATCACTTCAAGTGAGATACCAACGACTCTTGTTGATGCGTCGGACTTTGAGTGTTCCCTCTGCATGAGGTATGGCTGTGTTGACCTGTGATTAAGATCTTAAAGCCTTTCTAGCTTCTGAAAAATGTTTTTGTGGTGTCAGAAGGGAAAGCAGCCAAAGAATGCCGAAACCATTGCTTCATTTCTTTTTCCTAAAATTTGGATTTGATAAATCTGTACAGACACAGTCTTTATTACGCATTAACTACCACTTCAAAAATGAAAACTGTTTTTATGTCTTTGGATACAAAAGCAGGAAGGAGTGAGATAGTGAAGTCTACTCCTTTGTTTCCACAGTTTAGGAGTCTGTATTGTATTATATTGTCAGCTTCAGTTTTTTTGTTCTGTGTTTTCATGTTCAGGTTGTTCTATGAACCTGTTACCACTCCCTGTGGACACACCTTTTGCCTCAAATGCCTTGAGCGTTGCCTTGACCATAATCCACATTGCCCACTCTGCAAAGAAAAGCTGTCAGAAGTAAGTATATCCTTGCCTCAGTTAATTAAAATATTCAAAGCTGTGTTCTTCTGGTAACATGTATAGGAGGTGATTCTGTGCTCTACTTGCAGAACAATGTGATAGTACTCAGCATCAAGCTGTGCTTATTTGTTCCTTGGGGAAAAGAAAAATATAAGTAGGATTTGTTGGTGCATAAAGGAATAGATACTTCCAGTATCATGTCAGGCTTATGCTTGTGGAGTACGAATTTGTTCCTTCCATCAGTCTGTATTTCTACTAGCAGTGAAGGAGGAATGGGCACTCCTTGGTCAAACCTTGTGCTCCAGTAGTCATAATGTGTCTCACAGTTGGAGTATGTCTTGGGGAGCAGTAACCTGACGGCTCTAGGTGAAAATAATATGTGTATCTTCTTCAGAAGCAGGGAGGAACTACCTGTTCTTGGTGGTAGTACAGATTCAATCGGAAGTGAAGCTAATGGGCACTAGAGTGAGCCTCATACCCTGAAGTAGTTTTTATGCCCAAAGGCTGAAGCTAATGTGCCTTAGGAAAGGGAATGGGTTGGGAGAAAGAGTTGTTACCTGACTTCTTGTTATCAGGCTTCAGAGCTGACTCTTCCTTGCAGTTCTTGGCGAGCAGAACTTACAAAAAGACCGTCCTTACGGAAGAACTGATAGTCCGTTACTTGCCAGAGGAATTATCTGAAAGGAAGAAAGTCTATGAGGACGAAATGAAGGAATTGTCAAAGTAGGCTCTCTCTTTTACTTCTGATAACTGTTAGAAAAATGTATTTTTTAGTCTGAATTACTGAAGAAGCTTTACATTTGCTTATGAAAATGCACAAAATGAATGAATTTCTAAAACAAAGCTCTCACGATTTGTAATTTTTACATGGTTTGCACAGATAAACAACATGCTTGGATGGTAGAGAGGCACAACTATATTCTTAAAATAAAGATAATAGCTTTATTCCTCTGAATCAATATCTGCTATAAAAGTTTTAATGGGATTTCTTTAGGAACAGAAACCCTATTATGAATGTGTTATACTTCAGGTCAGTAGAAGTTCAAGGATTCGCTGCTGCGTCAGTGACGTGAAACTTACTCTACAGCCCAACGAAAAAGAAAAATAAAACATGGAATTAAACCTGGAAAAATCAAACAAGGATTAGTGCCCTTCAAACTTAAAGGACTTTACTGAGCTTTGGAATTCTCCACAGTTTGCTTTGAATGTAATTAGTACTTAGTTACTATGTTATTATAAAAAGTCATGACCAAAATATTTCTATTTGTATTTAAGCTAGATGCATCTGTATGCACACTTTGGGAAAATTGGCTATTATTTCCTGACTTTCCCTTTACAAAACTACATTAGATTAATTGTTTCCTTAATACATTAACAAAAAGAGACTTGAAATGTACTTTTCCTGTGAAAATGACAAACCACAACCAGAGAGGCATTTAACAAAAACGAGTCTAAGGAGACCACTAGAAGTGGTGTTTTTTTATGGGTTTATGCTAAATATAGCAGTGCCCAGAAAAAAACTGAACATTTTTTTAACAATTATCTTACAGTTTGAATAAAGATGTTCCCATCTTCGTATGTACCATGGCCTTTCCTACCATCCCTTGCCCACTTCATGTTTTTGAACCTCGTTATCGCCTGATGATAAGAAGATGCATGGAGACTGGTACCAAACAGTTTGGCATGTGCTTAGCTGATGAATTGAAAGGGTAAGGAGATGAGCCAGAAGGTCCTTTGTTACAGTGTTGGCATGCTGATGGGGTACTGCAGCACAGCATACTTGTCCCCTCTGACCACTGTGGTTCCTTCCAGTCCTGTATGAACCAATACAGGAGTTGGTGACTTTTTACTTTAGTATATCAAACGTTCCTTTGGATGCAAAGATGTTATTTTTATTGCTCCCCTGTTGGATGGATAGCAAAAATACAACTCATCTTGCTACTACAAGCTCCAGAAATAGCACTGAATTGTGTGTGTGGTTGGAAAGCTTTCTAGCCTGTTTGTTCTAGTGAAAGCTGACAGTGTGGATGAGGTTGCTCTTCTATCTGCTCATTTAAAACAAAAAACATACACAAAAAACTAAACCCAAATGTTGCATAGCTTTTTTGCATGGGCAGAATCATTTGAGACAAGGTGTACAATTGGCTGAGAAGCCCGTATTGCTACTGAACACTGAATGTTGATGTTTGTCTTCACTGCTGTGTTGCAATGTCTAAGCTCTGCAGTGAGTGGGTTACATTGTCTTTGTATATGATCCTGCCTTTAATTCTTTTTTGTAAATTCTGACATTAGTGTGATTCCACTTCCCTGTGTGGAGATGAATACTAATGATTAAATAAAAGTCTAGATGAAAGGGAAAAGGGATAAGCAGATAATCTTGGGGAAAAAAAAAAAAAAATGAGGTGGTCTGAAGAGACATTTGTCTTATGAGATGTGATAGGAAGTTGTTTACTTCAGAAGAATGATGTAGAATTGCCAGTGTGGGAAGTCTTAAGAATACATTAAGCATCCTCAGGAGCAGCCCTTTTGTAGGTGACCATGGCTGGAGCTGAGAGGAGGGCAGTCATAACCAGGTTTGGCAGCCTTTCCTTCTCCAGTTCAGGGATGTTTTTTCTCTTGGATGAGAGGACGAAGGAGGCAGTAAGAATGCAGGAGTTGCTTCAGCTGGCTCTGCCTGTGCTCCGTGCCATTTGACATGCTGTCAATGGTGCAGTCCCAGTGGAGTTCAGGTCCTGACAACAGCTGTCATGCTGTGATCCATTACAGTCTTATTATCAATTTTCTGGAAGCAAATATGTTTAAGAGTGAGGAGAAAAGGACCCTGTGGCATCAGTGATAATTGATCCCTGCACATCTAGGAAGGCTTAGTACAGAGGGATAAGGGGCTACAATCCTAAAAACGCACACTTATTTGATAGTGCCAAAAAGGGTGTTTTAAAATGCAACTAGTATGGTTAGGTACAGTTAGCATGCTCTGTCTGCTTAGAGCTACTGAAATAATTAAACATTTTAAGCATGGTGCCTTCCAGTTAAATGAAAAACACTGAAGTGCAGGAAGCCTTTATTTGTAGTCACCTAGCAGGCTGTTGTGGTTTCTTACGCAAGTAAAGAAATAATTTTGTTTGTTCAAAATTGTGAAATCTAATGAGAATAAGAAAGTAGGGAAACTTGTTTTGCCTCATCTATTGAGACAAGAGTATAGGAGGCTGAGATTCTTACCTCCCTTGAAAGACACGGTGACAAGTCATATTAAGTTCATTACCTTCCTCTGCTTTGCTTGTCCACTTAAAATTAAAACTTGGAGAAGAATTGTTTATAAGCTTTTAAGATGTGTCAGTACATTTTATACTCATGGCCAGGTGCTTTCTTGTCTCTCTTTGATCAAAGTCACTTTCCATCTCAAAGTAACTTCTCAAAGAATGACAAAAAAACATCACTTGCAGATGAATTTTTGAACTTGATATGAGTGCCATTAAAATCCTTTTAAAAAAAAAAAAAGGGTTTGTAACTGTTTAAGTAGTGCTCAATCTGATCTTTCAGTAATAAATTCAGTTGTTGTAATCTCAGTGGTCAAGCACACAGAGCTTAGTGGTGTGCAGCTGTATGCTTCTTGCTCTTCCTCAGTCTGCACAGTACAACGGCCAGAAGAGAATGGCTGTTCACAGCAGTCACCTTTTTTCCTCCCTAAACCTTGAATTCCAGTGGAATAGAAACAAGAGTCATTTCCCAGCAGTGTTGCTGTTTCTTCATTACTCTGATTGAACAAATGGCCAAGCCCTGCTATAACGAGCGTTTCCCTGATGAAACATTTTTTGGATCCTATAGGGATTTGTTATCTTGAGATCAGGGTAGGTACAGTGCATTCTCTTGGTTAGCAGTAAGCTGAGGTACAAGGCTGCAAACACTGGCAGATCAGAGTATCACAGTGAGGAATTGTTGTGTGATCAGCTTCCATAATGAACTAACTAAAGCACAGGTGCAGAGTAGATAAGGCTAATTAATTTAAATAAAATTTTGTTGCATGCTGCTTTCCAGAATGCAATTAAAATTTGTGCTTCAAATATAACAGATGCAATTGTGCTTTTATAAGGGGGCTATTTTATTTTGGTTAACTTAAAGGATACAGGGGCAAGAAGAATCTTGCTCTGTAGAAACCTTTTCCTCCTAAAGCCTGTAATCCTCTGTTTACACCTCACAGTAGGGGGGATTGCCCTGCTAGCCCTGCATTTGTGTCTCGGTTCCTTGACTTCCATTTGGTATCTTTACCCATCTTGTTTTCTTTGCAAAGCAAGTGAATTTGCCACAAGCAGCTGGCAACTCACTACTCCATTTAGCTTTCCTGTCCCTTCTCTACCTCCCTTAAATACCTAGGCTCTGAAGGTGCTGCTGCCTTGGACCTCCAGGGAAGGCAAAAAGGGTGGGGGTTGTGTGGCTTATGTGCATAAGCAGAAATGTATTGTCACCAAAGCAAGGACCTCTTTCAAATTGAAAGTGGTGAATTAGGCCCAGTATTTGTCCTGATGTATATAAATGCTTGTTGATGATTTCCACTTTTATACCCTTCTGTCATTTCAGATTTGCAGATCATGGCTGTATATTAGAGATCAGGGACGTAAAGTTTTTTCCTGATGGACGCTCAGTTGTTGATACAGTTGGTGTCCGTCGTTTTAGGGTCTTAAGCCATGGCCAACGAGATGGATATAACACAGCAAACATCGAATATCTTGAAGATAAAAAGGTGATCTATGGTGCAAAGTTATTCATACCCATGTATTGCTGGATTCACTTAAATAGCCTTTCCTTATTGCATTTCAAGTTAGCTATGCATTATTTTTTAATCGATATCATTATAAATACCGTAGCTCTATTTTGACAACCGTGGAACAAACTTAGCTTGTCTCTTACACACTTCCCTTTCTTCCTTTCTATCCTTACAATTATCTCCACTTGAAGTGTTGCACTGCTTTCACGAATCTCTTACGTAGCTTCTGATACCCAGGTCTGTTATGACAGTTAGGTGAGCTCAGAGTAGTGTTTTAAAACTGGTAAGGGCTTATCACCCATCTAAGAACACCTCTGTTAGTAGAGAATTGGCTATTCTCTTTGTCCGCTGAACACAGGAGATCAGTGTGTAGTTTGGCAGACTTCTATGACTTCCCAGCTCTGGTTTGCAGAACAGCTCCTCAAACAAATGTAGGAGTCCGTTATTAAAATGAGATCTTTGTGAGATGCAGTTACTGTGCCTGTACAAACATCCATCAAAGTTGACTGAGACCTGAGAATTGCCAGGAGGGGAGTAATTTTACAAACAAGTCCTCTTACAATATCTGCAACAAGTGAAGTGCTTGCGATGGGTGTTGGCCAAAGTGTGAATTTTTGGCCATAACTTAATTATGGCACCTGGACTGTCTTCAGAGCACATCTGTAAAATCTTGATCCCTCTTAACATTGAACTTAGTAATCTTATGCCAATTGATGAAATCCATTCTGATCTTGCAGATCTTCAGCACACTTTCGTGGTTGAAGTGTGAGTCTGTAAAATCCAGGTAGGGCTCTTGCAACTTGTACAGGATGATGCAGTGTTGTTTACCAGGCAGGGCAGACATGCTGTGGGGTGCTTCCCCATCATGGAAGCTCCAAGTATGTAATCTTTTCACAGTGTTTAGATCCCCAGAGAAGGGTGGTGGAGGTTATGTATGTCAAGGCATTGTTTTCTAGGTGGTGCCAGAGACTCACCTCTTTATTATTAGAGTGAGATTTACCTTGTCTCACTTCAGAGGCTGATGTCTGAGTTCAGTGCTATACATTCCTGTTGCAGTCAGTGATGAGAAGTCTCAGTCCAAAGCTGCCTGTTTATCTGCTCTATTGTGGATATCTACCTTAAGATGAAATTAATTAACCGCTAGAGCTGTTCCTCCTCACCTAGAAGGGGCAACCAGAGTAGCTGGCTCAGATATGTGTCTGAGTAACCCAGAGGAAGTACACCATTGGTCTGTACAGATCTAAAAGAAAACGAACAGCAATAGTTTGCAGTGTTGTTTTTTTGCTGATGCTTTTTTCCTTTTCCCTAATGGCTAATAGCCAGCCCTATGCAACTAAAGCACTCTTTGCAAGGGTCTTTTTTTTTTTTTTAATGGCTATTCCTGGTACTGGGAAATCATTCACTTTCTCTGCTTCCTGCCTGCACGTTTCTGCCCTCCTCCACTTTCTCCTTGGCTGTTCTACCATGACCTTAACACTCTTAGGAAGTATTGCTGGTTTCTAAACGCTGTAGAAACCCTATGCTTGTGCTGAGTGGCAGTAGGAGTTCTTGAATTTTACCAGACAATATAAGAAAGTTCAGAGGTCATTTAGTGACAGGGACTTAAGGTCGTGGGTTTGAAATGATTGATATGATGTTCTGGGATTAGAAAGCAGATTCTTCTGTTGTGCCAATATTTTGGTTATTAATGAGTAACTTCTCTAGGAAGTGTCATCTCAGAACATGTAGGGGAGGTTCCATCATCCTGGTTTGAAATATGAGAGTTGGGTACAGTTTGCCTAGATGTGGACAGTTGAACAGCTGCAGTCACTGCATTATTATGCTTCACTTGCTTCTGGCAGAGCATGTGAATTCCATAGTACCAAACTTGTTTTGTTCCATCTTCTTTTAACAATAAGGTTGAAGGACCAGAGTATGAAGAACTTGTCCGTCTTCATGATTCAGTTTATGATCAAGCTGTTGCCTGGTTTACTTCTCTTAAAGACAATATGAAGGTGCAAATTCTCAATCATTTTGGGTCCATGCCAGGAAAAGAACCAGAGCCGCAGGTAATAAATCTTTAGTATTCATTCATAATTATTCTTTATTTATTTTTTTACACAAAGCTATTTTCTCATAGAGGTTTTTTGCTGTATTTTTGTGCATCCTCAGCTCCTCTCATTTACCCAATTTTGTTCTATTTGCATGAAACTTAGAAAGCAATAATCATCAGTAAAAGTTGATACATGAAGAGATCAGCCTTAATGGAGCAAAAAGACAAAGAGAATAGCTGAAATCAAATGCTTAGTAGCTACTTTTAGTTTTGTGATGCATTTCTGAACAAAAGGAATGTGGGAAGGAAGGTACTGGTCTTCATCAGGCAGTGTTGGTTAATACATGATTGTCTTTCCATTCTCTTACAGAGCAACCCCAGTGGTCCTGCCTGGTACTGGTGGCTCTTGGCAGTGTTGCCTCTGGAGAACAGAGCTCAGCTGGCTATATTGGCTATGACCTCCCTTAAAGATCGTCTTATTGCCATCAGACGCGTCTTGATATTTGTGACTCGCAAAAGACCTAGATAACATGATCTTCAGTTGTAAATGAGCACTGAAAGCATCTCACGACTGGTTGTTTGTGGGGGGTGAGAGGGGAGGGGTTGTTTTTGTTTTTTTTTTTAAGATTCTTTCAAAAATGAACAGCCCTTTCTGACTGTGTCCAGCATCCATCGATTGCATCGGTTTGTTATCCTGGGTATTTACCAAACCTTGCACTCTTCTCCTGTTGTCCCAGTGAAATCTGAGCCTCTACAGAGCTGTGCTACAGTTAGAACGTAGTTGATAAATGTGGATAAATTGCTTCAAAATACTATGATAGAGTTAATGTTTATAGCCTGCAAGAGAGTTAAGTACTAGAGTAGCACCGCTGGCCTACATGTGATTTGGATTTCCGCTTAGTAGGAAAAGGAAACTGGACAGTGAATTATTAAAGAGGTGTTTCCTAGACTTTCTTGAAGGTAGTGAACAGAAGAGGAGCTGCGCTTCCCGGCCGAAGTATACATGAAGACTATAACGAGCAGTATGCTCTGTTAGTGAACTGGTAGACAGTCCATCATACACCCACATCTCTCTCTTTCAGGAAATATAAGTCTGCGAGGAAAAAAAAAACACCTAAGCAGTTTGTGGTCAAGGCATCTGAGGATGTTCATCTGAAAGAATAATAGCTACTGAATAAATACACTATTTAGTAGCCTTAGGTAATCCCTTGCGTTGTGATATATGTGTTGTAGCAGATTGAGTATGTACAAAATGCTTGGAAGGGTGTACTTTGGATTATTTGAAAAGAAAAATCAAAGTAGACCTAGCTGGTCTTATCACTAAATTGAGATCATACCAGCTCTCTAAACTATGATGAACGCTGCTGTGAAATGATTTCACTCCAAGTACTAGGAAGGCAGACTGCAGTTTTTTTTAACGAGTGTTCTGCAAGTGGGACTGGCAAGGATAGAATACCATTTCCCATTTACCTGCAGTGTCATGCCAACCTCGTGGTACATTGGAATGATCTCTATTGAACGTGTTTCAAACCGAAAGTATTGTAGCTTAGTACCCGTTGCTGTATGTGTTGGAAATCAGTCCATGATAACACCATGAACAGAGGCACGAACCGAACACTATAAAGGCAAGTCTCAATGCAAGCTCAAGTCAGGTGTTAACCTTCATTTGTGTTATTGATTTTTATAGACTGTTTTGTTAATATCTAACTTTGATAGCTCTGAAATTGCTTCTCAGTCAAATGATCAACATTTTACTCAATTGCCAATGAAATAACAGTGTTACCAGTTCAATTGGCGTAATTTCCTGTAAGCATTTCCTAGAATTGATAGTACCAACAGGAAAAAAGTTGACTTGAATCCTAACGTGCTGCAAGTATAGCAAGTTCGATTTAAAGACTTACTCATGTGCAGAAGTCTGGTAAGATGAAATGGCTGTTTACCTAAATGGTCAAAGTGCCTGGTTTCTTTTTTAGTTCTTTTTCCTTACTTGTCAATGAAGATGTATTTAAACCTTTTTTGTTTCAATTTGCACATGAGTTCTGGAAGAAAACTGCATTGAACTGCAGTAATTAACATATATTACCTACTCTCTTTGGGTATTGTAGTAATAACCTGTGTGGTCTGGGAAACAAAAGTACTGAGTTTTTTTTCCTTTCAGCAAATGGCTACCACAAATGGTTTCTGTAACATACCCTGAATGTACTGTAACTGCCTCTACCTTGAACACGCCTTTTCTATTTAAATAATTTGTAAGTATATTCTCTGAATTGTGAAGTGACAACCAATGATGTAATAACCTCTACAGTAGCCTTCTACAAGTTCTGCTACCATCACCAAAATACTAAAAATTCAAGTTGAATGCATTTCCTCCAGGATTTGAAGATGCCGAAGAAAAAGCATTGAAATATAAAGTAATTTCCAGAGAATTGTTCTGTGTATAGGAGAGGAAATGCCAGAAGTCAGTAGGTCTTCAGCCTACTGTCAGCTCACCTACCGAAGGGTGGTTTTGCAAACTAATTCTTAGACCAGAAGATGGACTGTGTTTGATCTTGCAATCCTTTCTGTTCAACTTCCTGTTCTTCCCATCCCTTTCCATGCTGTGTATTTCTCCTAGATTCAGTCATCTCGCTCCTTCATGTGTGTGGCCTAGTTTTGAGTATTAGTAGTTTGGCTGCAAGGGACGCTGATGGTATTGTGTATTGCTGGTCCCTGATCTTCCATGTGCTTAATTTTGCTTTTAGGAGTGTGTTTAAGAAAAAAAAAAAAAAAGAAAAAAATCAAGGTGCTAGTTAGTGTCTTTTTGGCTTTGCCTCAGTATCTAATGTGAATATTCTTCATTGCAAAAGTGATTTTTCAAGATATCTACTGTCGAGGTACTTCTAACAGGAAATCCTACAGAACAAAAGAGGTTGTTTACTGCTGTTCTGTAATGTGTAAAGAGACATTTTACATGGAAAGTGACATTACTGTGTTCATGAAGGCCTGCATAATTAATGAAACGATCGTTATCAACAAGAAAGCTGAATTGTAGGGGGATTTTTTTTTAGTCGAGGTTTTTGAGTACATCAGTAACAGTACGTTTTGGATAACTGATACAACTTCGGAATTGTCTGTCTATGGATGCAGATAATCATATTAGCAGCCCAAAGCTGACATTTCTTCCAAAACACTGAATGCTGATCAAATAGCAAAGCTTTAAGAAAACAAAAAAGTCACCACTACCCTTTGGTACTTGCTTCCTACGGGTGAGTACCAGTGCCATTGTTACCAAATTCTCTCTGCCATATAGTCTCTACAGCATCCAGTAGTACCTCATTGGAACAGCTAGCTATCTCGTTCCTCTCTTGGCTGGAGGAAGTGTCTGCGTTACAGCCGTTCTGCGCTTTTGTGTAACTCGTCACCAAGGTACCTATGGAAGCACGGAGCTGAGCTCCTGGAAAAAGTAGACAGGATTTGTTGCCTTTCTAGCTCATTACACTTTTCTTGCTTGCTGTCCAAGCAAGGATGCTGGGGTATATGATGAGTCTTTTCACTGTGGTGAATGTGGCCCTTCTTTATACATCATAAAGAGGCCAACAACAAAAAAAAAAATCCCTCTACCTCTACACCTGTTGTTCACCTGTAAAGCTTCAAGCTACAAAATAATATATATTTTAACCTTTTTTTGTCTTTTAGAAGCATACTAATTGTTTGCCACTGAGGCCTTTTATCTACTGTATTTTAATATGTTAATTTGATAGTCATCGAGATCTCTTTGTACTTCTAACCTGTAGATCTTGTCATGTTTCTTACTGCTCCTCTTTCCTTGTTCTCCAGTCCACTTTTAAATTGATAATAGAAACCTGTACATTCTCTATTCCTATTACATTTTACACTAGTGGAACTGGTATTTTGGTAGCGCCTTAATTTTGCAGTTGTGAAATGATTGTATCAACTCTTATCTGGGGCTTCTGACCAGATTTAAATGAGTATGTTTAATGTAGATAAACTTGAAACCATTTTTTTACTGTTTTAAAGCTAGTTACAAAGTGGAATGTGTACATATGTATAAATATAAATTATTAATCTTCACCTTTTTGTATCTAGTAAATACCGGAGAAGTTCATGTTCTAACCACATTTGACACTTCTTGTTGCATAAGCAAAGCCAAAACTTTTTTTAAAAATTGCAATGTTCATTTCATGTATATTTGCAATATTCATGGGAAATGTATTTAATTTATGTGATATTTGGAATAAAACAGAATGACTTTATAAGCATGTGAGTTTATGGGAAAGCTTTATCCCTTTGTCAGTGTCTTTGAAGGGAAAAATTTGGGGGCTATGGCTACCTGTACAAAAGTTGTATTACAAATTTCATTTCATACAGTTGTGGATGTGAAGTGCTTCTCATTTTTGCAATGTGCCACTTGCTCTGTAGTGCTTCTGGCTTTCGGCTGCAAGGTCAGAAGTATATGGTCTGGAGTTCGGGGAAAATGACACTAGTCCCCCTGGCTACTGAAACGCGGGCAGCAAAGAAGCGAGAGAAACTGTGAAGAGTCAGAAGGCTTTAGGGCTACACTTCTCATGTCTGCAGTGCAGATGTACTCTCAAATATTTGGTATTTGCTGGCATGGCTCCGCACCTCCCGTCCTATCCACTAGTGAGGAACTTTTTTTCTCAGCTGCACGGTTCCCAGAGTTGCTATTCAGTGTTCAACACTATTTGAATCCCCAAGACATGATGCTTCAGTCAGCAACATTTGCTATCTGTTATCACTGCCACATATGCATTTACTGTCACTGAACAGAAAGAAGTCACTGAGTGCTGATATCAGAAAGAAACTGATAGTCTGATTCCCTGACAAGTACCTGGGGAAGAAGACGGCCTCACAGTTTTAAGAAGCAAACAGCACCTGAGGAGCAATGATGAGATGTTGCAATTCATAGGTGATTGCATTTTAAGGGCTTTAGACCCATTGTGAGTGTAATGGAGGAGTCTGTAGGGGGATCACAGTAGAGTTTGATGAGGCTTTGAGCCTGGGGGTGTGCAAGCAAGAGGTGGGTGTCAGAGGGAACAGGTCTCCAAAGAACTTGGGAGTGGTGATGAGCCCATCAAACTTGTACAGCTACGCAAAGACCTCTGGCCTTGGCACCAGCATGCCTCAGTGACCTCTTGATCTACCTGAATGGGACTGACTGGAGGCTTAGAGGAAGCACAGCAAGCAAGATGTTGCTGAGGATTATAAAAATGACCATGCCGAAAGAGCAAACAAGGAGTTACACTGCAGAGGTGCCGTAGGCTGTAACCTATTGAGAGGAGGTGCTGATAAGTATCAGCTTTGCTGGCCTTGACCCCCAAAGGGTGGTAATCCTCATGTGGACTCCTGTTTTGCCTCAGGACCAGGCCCACCTGACACAGTTGCTTGTATTGCCACAGCAGCTGGCCTCAGGGCCAAGGAGCATACCTGCTAACGTGTTATATGCACTTGTGGAGATGGATCCTCAGTGCGTGGCAAGGCAAGAGATGTGTCCCAAATATGTAAGCACAAAACAATACAGAGATTTGTGGGGCAGCCAGGGGGTAACAGGGTGCTGAAGGAGCTCGTAAGGTGGAATGGAGGAGAAGACCATTTCAGGAGTGGGAAGTGACAAGGAAGGGGAGAAGTCACAAGGTGCCTTTTGGTTTTGTAGCTGCTCAGATGAGAAATGGATATTTAGACCTGAAAGTAACTTGTTAGATTTTTATTTTCTTGCGTGTATTCTTAGTTAGGAGATAACTGAGATGCAGAAAGGCCTTGTATCAAATGATGCTAATTTCCCTGAGCCCTAGAGTGATACCTCCCTCGGAGCATGTAAACTTTAGTACCGTGTTACCCTGTTAGCATTGCTTTCTACTTCATCAAATCATGAACCCAAAATAACTGGTTCTGTCAAGCAGACTCAGTTCTTCACTTACATTTGGAAAGCCAAATACTTGCTGGAAGCTGTTGACTATTCAGGCATAGAATTAGAAAAATGAGTAATCTGGACCAAAAAGTATGAGGCCAAGTGTCTTGGAGGGTGGGGAATATACGTGAATCCATGCCAGAACTTTCCTGAGTTCATTGCATGAATGCATTGGTACACTCACAGCTGAAAGGCATGTTTTTAATCACATTTACATTATGTGGTGGGGATGTGTTGTTTGTAAACGGAGATGAGTACTGCTTGCTGACAACTTCTGTAGCTCAGTTCTGCCATATGTGGGATTTGGCTTTATTGGCTACATTTGGGAAATCATGAATCCATAGAAATGTCTTCATTGCTACTTTTCTTTTTGGGCAAAATCAGCACTCAGCCCTTCTCCTGGAAGGACCTGGAGTTTGAAGACAGAGGCTGGACCAGAAGCTGGTCCTGAGGGCCAGGCCAGTAAATACAGACTAGACACAGATTTATACACTGAGTCAGGGAAACTGTTCTGGTCCCTGTTCCCCTTTCCAATATATTCCAGAGGAAGAGAGGAAATTTCTGCCCTCCAGCTTTCAATGATTAACCAGGGGAGGCTTCCAACCAAATTCCTCTCAGGCACTCTGGTATTAAGCACAAACCTGTCTCTGCTGAGCTCCTCAGCAGTTAGAGAGAGGTAGGCAAGTTGCTGCAGTCACCAGGAGTCTCAGGAGAACATGCCCTAGTTTCAGCTGGGGCTGAAGAGCTGAAGATAAGGACAATTAGAAGAGGCAGATAACATGCTTGATGGAAGTATTATGTCAAAAACTCTTCTCAAACAATACTCTCAATATCCAATCAGACTCAAAGGTGGCATACACAGAAGCTATTTTTTTTTTTTTTTAATAATAGCAACCACCTAAGGGAAACACTTCCACACAGCCTGTTCAACCCATTCACAATAACTGTGGTATGAAGTCCTATGTTCAACCCACGGACCACCTGAGAGACCCACCACTCATCGTGGTTATGTTCTTTGCTGTGATTCCCATTCCTTGCTTGCCACTAGCTCTTGTTCATTCCTTGCCTTTCTTTTTTTTTTCTTTTTTTCTCAGCAGTTGCCAGGGTTTTGGTTCACGCTGCAGGTGCAGACAGCAGGACCCGTTGTATCCTGCCACAGCAGATCTAACAGAGAAAGAAAGACACTTCTAAAGCAGGAGGAGGGAGAAATAGGAAAAGTGGTGTCCTTCACTGTAAGTAGAAAGATATCCAACTCCAGGCCCAGGCTCAGCCCTGCCTGGAGCAAATACCTCATGTTTTCTGCTGGTGTCTGACACCTTGCATGTTGGCTGACTGCCCTTGCTGGCTTACAGAAGATGGTTTCTAGCAGATGGACTTGCTGTGGCTAAGTAGTCACAGTGTCAGAAATGTCTAAATTCTCCATGCCAGCTTTATTTTCTTTAATCTGAAATTATTCTCCCTGAACAGGAGGAGGCAAGGGCATCCATTGCCCAAGTGAAAGTACACCAAGCCAGACCTTGCCCAGCACCCGTATGTTTTCCCCATTCCTTCTCTGTGAACGTGTGTTCATGTGATGCTGTGAGGCTGCATGGGGATGGGAGCCTTCACTAACACGTCTTTTAGCAATACTGATTCAACCAGTTCTTTGTTACAGAGAACTAATAAGAATGCCAAGGTGAAGTTAGTTCCTGCAGCTCAAGTTCACTCCATCAGAAGCCGTGCTGCATGGGTTTTGCTGAAGGGTAGCTCTGGGCCTGACTCTGTGGCAGCTAGAGCCTTCCCTGTACTTACAGCAAATACTGCACTAGAACATCTGCAAATACGTACCTGTGCTCTACAGGTG